GAGCAAGATTTTATTGATAACCTTTCGCTATGTGTAGAATTTTATTATATGACTTATAAAGCTCTACACATAGCGAAACACTATGCCAGTGACGGCTTATTGTGGTACGTGGCTTCATTCACTCTTGTCCGGAGTATACCATTAGGATCTATATGTCTTATGTTTCCTGTCTGTTGAGTATCCTCAGTCACAGTCACGTGGCAATTTCAATATTAATTTACATAGTATTATTTTTAGAACTATATCTTGAAATTTGATGTCAAATTACCTTATGCTGCTTGGGTACTTCTTTTCAACCAAAATATTTTAATTATAAGGCAAATTGGAAGCAAAAAAAAAATGTAAGAGAAAGCCATAACAAGATTTTTTTTTTCAAGCCATAACTTAAAAATTGCTCACAACTGAGCAAAATGTTAATTAAAGTCTGTATTACCCAACCTCAACGTTGCAACCAGGTGCAGGTTCTGGAGTGACTTGTGGCTTGCTAGTACTGCTCATGCTACATCTTAGTACTGATTATGCTGCATGTTGCATCATTGTACTGATTACGCTGCATGTTGTATCATAGTACTGATCATGCTATATGTTGATGATGTTATTTGGAGGTGTAAATGTAGAGGTCTTCTTTCATCTTTGTTTCTGCCTACATGTGAGATTTATTGCTGTTGTACTGACGAGTGCTTATTACCTGTTTATGCAAGTGTAACTTCCACGTACTGTACTGTTACAGTGCTGTTTATAACAAGTTACAATGTACTCTCAATGTCTCATATCCTCTCGTGGGTCAAAATGGTACAAGAGGAAAATGGTGTGGGTGTTCTTGTAGGTGAATGGGTGTGGGTATGTTTGTGTGGGTTTGGATGTGCTTGTAGGTGAGTGGATGTGGGTGTGGATTTGGGTATGCTTGTGGGTGTGGGTATGTTTGAGTGGTAGTGGGTTTAGGTGTGCTTGTGGGTGCGGGTATGTTTGTGTGCGTGTGGGTATGGGTGTGCTTGTGGGTAGGTATTGGTGCGCATATGGGTGGGTTTGGGTGTGCTTGTGGGTGGGTTTGGGTGTGCTTGTGGGTGGGTGTGGGCGGGTTGATGACTATGACAGACTGCCTCACACCACCTGATCAATACAGATATGGTCTGGGGTGTTGGGTCAGTCGTGTGCCCAAGAGGTGCAAGCACTCACGCCATTTGCAAAACAATAATTAACACTATACATTAATTTTTTCATATAGGCTTTATATAAGAATAATTTACGGCTCTCAAATGCCATTCTTCATCTTGTAGTATATTCTTCTATTACTTTTCATCTAACCGTTGTCTGCTTTTTTTTATTCATTATTCTTGTGTGTGATATCAGTAGGAGTGTCATTGGTTTCTAATAAGTTCGTAAGACATGACTTCCAGTCCCTAAAACCTTGTTGTTGCTCAGACATCTGTGTTCTTCTAGGTCATCTACTATTCTCTTACGACCATACATCACTTTGCAAGGATATTGATCAGGAATATCGGTTTGAAATTGCTGGAATTAACTGGAATTTACTGAGTTTAATATGTTTATTATGCACCCCATACCCATCCTGTGGGCGGTAGTCAAAAGATTACAGAGGTACATAATTGGTCCAGGGACTGGACTGAGCAGTATTTTTTTTCCAATATTAGGGCGCTTACCCGTTTCCCTCAATTTGCTAAAGATTTTGACAAGGGGTTTGCTCAGTACTGTCGCCCCTTCCTTCAGAATCCATGCCAATATGTTATCTTGTCTTATTGCTTCCATCAACATTTTCTTTACGTCTTCGATTGTTATTTTTGTCATTTTCTAGTTCTGTTTTGCTTTCTCTCCCTCATTCCTGTTCTAGTGGAGTGTCTTTGTTTTATTCCACTGTAATTTTTTTATGGATTCCTTGTAGAGCTTCTTGCCATTGTCACTCTCCCCCTCCCTTCTTTCTGCGGTTCATTACTTTATCCTTTCTTGATGTTTTGTTTCTTGAATTTGGCTGTAGAACACTGGCTCGGTTTTCGCTTTTTCTTTTTAATTGTGTCTCAGTTACCTTGAATTGTATTCCTTCCTACTAGATTCTTTTTGTTAAATAGATTTTCTCAACGTTTCCATTTTCTCTTTTTTTTTTTTTTTTTTTTTTTTTTTGCATCTTTATATTGTGGATTGAACCACAGATTTTCTTGTATTTCTTGTTTGTTTTTCTTTAGTTGAGAATGACCCTACATTCTGCTTCCCGGCATCTTCGGGGAAAGTAAGCTATTGCGTCGGTCTGGAGTTTTTGGTTTAAATAAGTTTATTTAGGTACAGGTACACATAAGTTCAATTATCCTACCTAATAACATATATGTAAATTACCTAGGATAACCCCTAAAAAATCTCAGACAAAATGACTTATTTCCATTATGGTCCTTCAAACATCAATTCTCTCTGCCGTGATCAATCATAGCCTAATTTCTTGGAAGCTGGATTCCCTGAATGTGGCTCTTCATGTTTGTGGACAACTGCGTGAGCTACCCTTTCCCCGGTCTATTTCACCGTGGTTTAAATTGACAATAATATATAGTTTAGCTTCAGTTGTGTTGGCTACTGTGTTCTTTTTGGGGAATTATTGGTATCGTTTGTCTGCGTCGTCTACTAACTTGAGGCCTTAGGTTATTTTATTTACCTCATAGTTTGAGTATTTCTTATCATTTACGATTTTCATCTGTTCATAGTATCATTGTTTCCCCTTTAAAATGGCTATTCACGCTTCCCTTTCATCCATCCATTTTTGTTATTTATTTTTGCCGTTGTACATCCTCTTGGAAATACTGCATAAATTATTGGTTATGAAAGTCTAATTTCTGTAATTATTATCAAGTCTGGCTGTTTCATTTAATTTATTCTTTGTAATTTGTTTTCAGTTGACACACCATTTGTGTCCGTAAACACGACTGTATTTCTTATGAAATAATTTGTTTATTGCTTAGACCTTTCTATTTCTTGTCTGTTTTGATTCCTCCTTTTTCTTGAGCATTGACTATGGGGGATGGGAGAAGTAGTGGTGGTGGGAGGGGATGTATGTAGGAGGGTAGGATGTCGGATGCTGAGAGAGAGACAGAAGTGTGTATGTGGATGCTGTGTTGTGTGTGTGGGGGGGGGGTGGCACTGGTGTGGTGAGCGAGGTGTTGGAGTGGTGGGTGTCTGGTGCTGTTCTGGGGAGTGGTATTGTGAGGGGATTGTGGGTGTTGTGCGAATGTTGGAGTGGGTATGGGAGGCAAGGGGTGTGTTGGTGTTGTGAATTGGGGAGTGGAGGGTTGTGGTGATGGTGGTGTTCATATTTGCAGAGGTGTTGCAAGGATGGTAAGGCTAGTCTCCGTGTAGTCCTTTGCACCTGTTCAAGATTCTGAATATGTTTGATCAGGTGGGGGCACTACACTGGTACAACATATTCTAAGCTGGGCTTGATATGCGTTGCTATAGTCATAAAAAGTCCTTTATTGAAATCCCTAAGATTTGCAAACCTCTCATAGGCTACTAAAGCAAGAGTTATAGTGAGAGATCAATGGTGTTGGTATCAGTGAAGAGTGTGATGAGAGCACCAGCCCTGGCCCACACCTACCCATGTCTTGCAGCCATTTAACAACAAAGAAGAAATTCTTTTCGTTACTAACCCTGGATGATTGACAACTCTGGGTGGGTTAAGAACCCTGGAAGTTAGTAACCCTGGAGAGTTAATAATTCTGGACAAAGCAAGAAAGTCAAGCAGTGTGTGTATGGCTTCTCTGTTAGGGTACTTCGGTCCCTCCCAAACACTTATCCTTTGATTGCTGTATGCAGGCCACAAGTGATAGCCAGACCTAGAACCGTCCCGTTGCTCAGACTGAGGGCCCTAAGTCGGGGTTGGCCCTGAGTTGAGCAGAGTTTGTTGGGTGTTGAGAACTGCCGAGTCGTTAACACCGGACTGAAGACAATCTACTCATCACTGACGGTAGCTACTGCTACACTACATTTGCACAAGATTTGCCGCGCCCCTGTCATAGGGCCAACGGCTCATGATGACAATCATCCTTCCCCAACCACAGAGACGGAACCACTGAAATTAACCATAGGACCATGATCAGTGCTACCGGTTTTACATCGGCCATTCTTCTCTGGGTGGTAGAGATCGGCTGGTCATTACATGAAAAAGACTCGTGTCAAGACGTTATTTCTGAGAAATTTACAATGGAACCAACTCGAGAAGCGATCCACAACAGTAGAATGACTTGAATGCCTGTTTACTGCTAGGCAAACAGAATGATCAGATGTAGAGAGACTTGCCTATACGCCTTGCCTGGCCCCTACATAGAGCGAAACGTTGTCCAAATAAAATCTTGTTCTGCAAACATTTCTGTTCTTTACTGTTGTCGACAGTACGGCATATCGATCCCGCAAATGAAGTTGTTTCTGAACTAACATCAGAGTTCCACTGGCTGCAGCTAGCTTCAACATTGTGTCTAGCCAGGTACAGCATTGTATCGAGCCAGCTACAACACTGTATCGAACCAGCTACAACATTGTATCCAGATAGCTACAACGTTGTATCTAGTTGAAACCCATACTGATTCTTAACGAAATTGTTTTTGCTCTCTAACTTTGCAAAACAAACCTTACCTAAAATTTGTTGTACCTCTTGCTTGATAGTTTTTTTTAACTAGGCTAGGCTGTGTGCAGTAACAGAGGTGGTAGTCAGTACAGTAGTGGGCAATGCAGTGTAGGTGGTAGGCAGTACAGTAGAGGGCAATACAGTGCAGGTGGTAGGCAGTACAGTAGTGGGCAATACAGTGCAGGTGGTTGGCAGTACAGTAGTGGGCAATAGAGTGCAGGTGGTAGGCAGTACAGTAGTGGGCAATACAGTGCAGGTGGTAGGCAGTACAGTAGTGGGCAATAGTGCAGGTGGTAGGCAGTACAGTATACTGTAGGTAGTAGTCAATACAAGAGAGGTTGTGGGTAGCAACAAGAGAGTAAAACACCTTGTATGTACACAGGTGGTGGATGGTCTGGAGGGCACCGATACAGGTCTGTAGACCCAAAACGTGACAAGGTCAGCCGTTATCTTATCCATATGCACAACTTTCTGCGCTCCAAGGTCAACCCTCCAGCTGCTAACATGCTGGCTCTGGTGAGTACTGATAGCTGCGAGTACTGGTAGTCGGTGAGTACTGGGACTGAATTGCCATCCTTGCAGTTATAAATTCATGACTTATCGATGTCACCAATTTGCAAAAGATCTTATTTAAAACCAGTTCTTTTTTTAAAATAGTATTTCTTACAAAAAAGTTTTTTTTTTTTTTTTTTTTTAATCTCTACTGCATCAATGTACTGTAAAGGTATGAATGTAATGTATATGCTGTACGCTGTGAGACGTCGTAGAACTGAAAATGTCATGATGACACCATATGTACGACGAAAATACCTGAGGAGGAATTTCTAGGAATTGAAATGAGTTGATATGTGGGCGATGTCGAGTGATGTTGGACGGATATTTTTTTTTAGTAAAATTAGATATATCAGCAGTGTACTGCTGGCCTATTCTGTATAATAGTTACACAGTGGGAACAACAGCTATGTTTCCTTATATTGTATCACTTTGGATGGGGTTCATAAAAAGGATTGAAATCTGTCATCCTGAGCTTAGAGACTTCAGTAGGGCAATGAGGATATTGTCAAGGAAATTGCAGGAAATAATAGCTAGAACGAATTTTACTACAAACTCTAACCACACAATAGACCGAAAAAGTAGTGTGAAGAACTTGGGAGTGTTAATGTCAGATCTCACCCTCAAGGATCACAACAGTCTCACTATCACAACTGCGTGGAAAATGATAGGATGGATAATGAGAACCTTCAAAACAAGAGATGCCATGCCATTAATGATTATTTTTAAATTACTTGTTCTCTCTAGGCTGGAATGCTGCTGTACACTAGTAGCTCCATTCAAGATAGGTGAAATTACAGATCTTGATAATGTACAGAGAACCTTAACTGCACATTTAAGTTTTGTCAAATACTGCTTTAATTACCGGGAACGCTTGGAGTCACCTGACCTGTACTCACTGAAGTGCAGGGGAGAAATATATATCATAATCTACACCTGGAAAATCTGGTCCCATATCTGCACACAGAAATTACTGAGCAGACGGAAAAGTAAGGGCGCCATGAGTACACTAAAAGAAAACACAATAAGTGTCCGGGGCCCAAGACTGTTCAGGAGCCTCCCGCCAGGCATGAGGGGAATTACCAATAAACCCCTGGCTGCCTTCAAGAGAGAGCTGGACAGATACCTAAAGTCAGTACCCGATTAGCCGGGTTGTGGTTCGTAAGTTGGACTACGTGCGGTCAGCAGCAACCGCTTAGTTGATCAGGCCCTGATCTACCCGGAGACCTGGTCAAGGACTGGGCCTCGGGTGCGTTGACTCCCGGAACACCCTCCAGGTAGGTAAGTGATTTCCTCTAACGAACACACCAATAATCTCACATCAATAATCAGGCGATCACACGAGCTTTTAAATCTCTGCACAAAATTCAATTTAAACCAGCAAATAATAGAGCCTACTAGACTGGAGAATACACTAGACCTCATCTTCACTAACAATGATGATCTGATAAGAAATGTCACCATATCAAAAACAATATACTCAGATCACAACATAATTGAGGTTGAGACATGTATGCGTGGAGCCCCAGACCGACAAAATGAGACTAGTCACGAGGGAGCATTCACCAAATTCAACTTCAATAACAAAAACATAAAGTGGGACCAAGTAAACCAAGTCCTAACCGATATAAGCTGGGAAGATATTACTAAGCAACACAGACCCAAACTTATGCCTAGAACAGATTAACTCGATGGCACTCGATGTATGCACAAGGCTTATTCCTCTAAGAAAAAGGAGGAGTAGATGTAAAATAGAAAGAGACAGGCGCTCCCTTTACAGGCGACGGAAAAAAATAACAGAGCGGCTAAAAGAGGTCAATATATCTGAAATGCGCAGGGAGACACTGGTCAGAGAAATAGCAAGCATCGAACTTAAGCTAAAAGAATCCTTTAGGAGTCAGGAATCGCGGGAAGAAACTAAAAGCCATAAATGAAATCGAAAGAAACCCAAAGTATTTCTTCTCCTATGCCAAATCAAAATCGAGAAACAACGTCCAGTATTGGGCCCCTACTTAAACAAGATGGGTCCTACACAGATGACAGCAAGGAAATGAGTGAGCTACTCAAGTCCCAATATGACTCAGTTTTTAGCAAGCCGCTAACCAGACTGAGAGTCGAAGATCAAAATGATATTTTTTATGAGAGAGCCACAAAATTTGATTAACACAAGCCTATCCGATGTTATCCTGACGCCAAATGACTTCGAACAGGCGATAAATGACATGCCCATGCACTCTGCCCCAGGGCCAGACTCATGGAACTCTGTGTTCATCAAGAACTGCAAGAAGCCCCTATCACGAGCCTTTTCCATCCTATGGAGAGGGAGCATGGACACGGGGTCGTCCCTCAGTTACTAAAAACAACAGACATAGCCCACTCCACAAAGGGGCAGTAAAGCAACAGCAAAGAACTACAGACCAATAGCACTAACATCCCATATCATAAAATCTTTGAAAGGGTCCTAAGAAGCAAGATCACCACCCATCTAGAAACCCATCAGTTACACAACCCAGGGCAACATGGGTTTAGAACAGGTCGCTCCTGTCTGTCTCAACTACTGGATCACTACGACAAGGTCCTAAATGCACTAGAAGACAAAAAGAATGCAGATGTAATATATACAGACTTTGCAAAAGCCTTCGACAAGTGTGACCATGGCGTAATAGCGCACAAAATGCGCGCTAAAGGAATAACAGGAAAAGTCGGTCGATGGATCTATAATTTCCTCACTAACAGAACACAGAGAGTAGTCGTCAACAGAGTAAAGTCCGAGGCAGCTACGGTGAAAAGCTCTGTTCCACAAGGCACAGTACTAGCTCCCATCTTGTTCCTCATCCTCATATCCGACATAGACAAGGATGTCAGCCACAGCACCGTGTCTTCCTTTGCAGATGACACCCGAATCTGCATGACAGTGTCTTCCATTGCAGACACTGCAAGGCTCCAGGCGGACATCAACCAAATATTTCAGTGGGCTGCAGAAAACAATATGAAGTTCAACGATGAGAAATTTCAATTACTCAGATATGGTAAACATGAGGAAATTAAATCTTCATCAGAGTACAAAACAAATTCTGGCCACAAAATAGAGCGAAACACCAACGTCAAAGACCTGGGAGTGATTATGTCGGAGGATCTCACCTTCAAGGACCATAACATTGTATCAATCGCATCTGCTAGAAAAATGACAGGATGGATAATGAGAACCTTCAAAACTAGGGAGGCCAAGCCCATGATGACACTCTTCAGGTCACTTGTTCTATCTAGGCTGGAATATTGCTGCACTCTAACAGCACCTTTCAAGGCAGGTGAAATTGCCGACCTAGAAAATGTACAGAGAACTTTCACGGCGCGCATAACGGAGATAAAACACCTCAATTACTGGGAGCGCTTGAGGTTTCTAAACCTGTATTCCCTGGAACGCAGGAGGGAGAGATACATGATTATATACACCTGGAAAATCCTAGAGGGACTAGTACCGAACTTGCACACGAAAATCACTCACTACGAAAGCAAAAGACTTGGCAGACGATGCACCATCCCCCCAATGAAAAGCAGGGGTGTCACTAGCACGTTAAGAGACCATACAATAAGTGTCAGGGGCCCGAGACTGTTCAACTGCCTCCCAGCACACATAAGGGGGATTACCAACAGACCCCTGGCAGTCTTCAAGCTGGCACTGGACAAGCACCTAAAGTCAGTTCCTGATCAGCCGGGCTGTGGCTCGTACGTTGGTTTGCGTGCAGCCAGCAGCAACAGCCTGGTTGATCAGGCGCTGATCCACCAGGAGGCCTGGTCACAGACCGGGCCGCGGGGGCGTTGACCCCCGAAACTCTCTTCAGGTAAACTCCAGATAGCAAATTTAAGCATAACCTCATTTTGCGGTTAGCCTTATATTCTCTTGTATGTAAAGTAAAGCATTGTATGTGATTTTCCCTAGTGGAAATACGTCATTATGTAACTGTTGGGTTATCCTAGGTTAACTCTTCATAAAAATGTACTCTATGTGTGTGCCAGTAATAACTGTGTGACTTCAAGATCACTGTATAATTTTTTGTTGTGTATCTAATACGTGAATGAAAACATTTCCCTAGAGATGGTATGAGCGTGCTGCTGAGCAGGCACAGGCGTGGGCAGAACAGTGTGAACGTAACACAAACTTGGACCACCCCAGGGTCAGGTGGACTCTCGATACGGTGTTTGGGCGGTCAAAACCCTTCTCGTCTCCCCCCCCAAAAAAGCGATGGTATGTTCATGCTTCATTATATATGTTTCATATTTTCAAATGTTCCATTTACGTGATAGCTCGGTAGTAGCCTTTATCTCTCAACCGAGGGGACCGATTTGGGGTCTCGGAGGTCGGAGTTTTGGGTAGTCCCCTCATTGTTGTCTTGATCCTGTTAACCAAGCGTCAGTAGGGGCCAGGGGTTAGGCGAATGTTGTGGGGCCGTACCCGGGGAAAAATTCAAAGTTTTTTTCTATAAGATTAAAATGTTAAATTTACGAATTTTGGTTGTTGTTTGTGGTTACATGTATTTAAATAAAAAATTACAGGTGTACCACTAGGCCTAGATGGCTGGGCTTTTGGGGCAATTAGTTTAATTCTTTATTTTAAAATATTACAAATTATGAGGTAAGTTGGTATTATGGCTAAGTGACTAAATACTAGTTTGTGAGTTTAGCAATGTGAATGCTTTTGTTTTGTCACAGTACATAGTTTCAGTATTGGAGTATCATAGGATTCATTATTTTAAGATGTGAAAGGATATCACCGGAAATAATCCACATTGCTTATTTCATGGTTTAATAACCCTCTTAAGATTATTAATCTGAATCCTGTCTTGTCCCCTTATAAGTTCTGTCTAAGATATACTAACCCGCCTCCCTTTCCTCGGGATGCAGCCCGCAACAGTCTGATGACCATGATGACACTCTTCAGGTCACTTGTTCTATCTAGGCTGGAATATTGCTGCACACTAACAGCACCTTTCAAGGCAGGTGAAATTGCTGACCTAGTAAATGTACAGAGAACCTTCACGGCGCGCATAACGGAGATAAAACACCTCAGTTACTGGGAGCGCTTGAGGTTCCTAAAACTGTATTCCCTGGAACGCAGGTGGGAGAGATACATGATTATATACACCTGGAAAATCCTAGAGGGGCTAGTACCGAACTTGCACACGAAAATCACTCACTACGAAAGCAAAAGACTTGGCAGACGATGCAACATCCCCCAATGAAAAGCAGGGGTGTCACTAGCACGTTAAGAGACCATACAATAAGTGTCAGGGGCCCGAGACTGTTCAACTGCCTCCCAGCATACATAAGGGGGATTACCAACAGACCCCTAGCAGTCTTCAAGCTGGCACTGGACAAGCACCTAAAGTCGGTTCCTGACCAGCCGGGCTGTGGCTCGTACGTTGGTTTGCGTGCAGCCAGCAGCAACAGCCTGGTTGATCAGGCTCTGATCCACCAGGAGGCCTGGTCACAGACCGGGCCGCGGGGGCGTTTACCCCCGGAACTCTCTCCAGGTAAACTCCAGGTAGCACCCAAATGGCTATGTACTCCTGGGTGCCGAAGGGGCAATAGGCAGACACATTTTCCAGATTTTAGCAAATATAATAATTCTGCAGTTGGAAGACATAAGGACGGAAGAGGCAAAGCAAGAGCTAAATTGGTGCAACTAGAACCTATAAATATAATTAAAATTGTAATCAAATTAGCTAGGTAAATCAAAAGTTTTTTAAGACGGGATGGTGTCCCGTAGCTCGATCGCTAGCGCATTCGGCTCACACTGGGGTTCGAATTCCTCCGGTACGGCTGGCAAACATTAGGGACGTGTTTCCATAAGATACCTGCTGTCCCTGTTCACCTATCAGTTTAAAAAGGGTACCTGGGTTGTTAGTCGACTGGGACAAAACTAACTTAATTTACCCGAAATGCTCAGCATATCAAGAGGCTTTCTATATAGTAGTATGTCAATGATGTCAGCTATGGCCTGTATATAATGTACATGTACTTGTAGTAAATAAAAATATTATTATTATTATAAAGCTGATTGTTATGAACCAGGAAATAAAAAATATAAAGAAAATTTTGGAAAAAGGTCAAAAGAAATTGAATTACAAGTCAGATAAATGAGACTATGGAAGTACTTAATGGGTCCAGTGACCCAGGACCTACAAGAGTTACAGAGACTAGTGTTTCCCTACTTGACCACATCTGGACCAACACCATATCCCCTTTAAAATTAGGCATAATTACAGATAATACCACAGACCACTACCCTACTTTCCTCATAACAACTCTTGGTAAAATACCCCAAGACACTACTAAAGTCACCTTCAGACTTCACAATGAGGCAGCCATTAATAACTTCACAACAGCAGTAACAAACATTGACTGGCACACTGAGCTAGAAATCTATACAGATATTGACGAATGTTTTAACAATTTTCTAAAAAGACCCAATACCTTTATAACAAGCACTGCCTAAAAAAAACTAAACAGATGACAGCTAAGAGACTGAACAGTCCCCGGCTAACACCCAGCATTCTCAAATCCATAAATACAAAACACCCATATGAAAAACAGTACAGAATGGGTCACATAACCAGAGACCAACAAAACGTTACTCGTCAATCCTAACCAGCCTGATAAGAAGGGCAAAAAAATTGTATTATGAGAACAGATTATCCAACTTACGAGGTGAAATAAAAAAGACCTGGAAGACCCTATCAGAAATTCTGGGAACAAAAAAGATATCACGACATAGCGAAATAAAATTAGCAAAATCAGATGAACCCCAACTCCCACCAATAGAAACAGCAAACAAACTCAATGATTTCTTCTCCACTATAGGTCAAAACCTTGCTAATAAAATCCCAAGCTCAGATACCCCACCAAATGACTACCTCACTGGCAACTACCCGAACACACTGTTCCTAGCTCCGACTAACCCATACGAAGTTTCCCTTATTATCAACGCACTGAAAAACAAGGCAGGAGATTTAAATACCTTACCACCCTTTATATACAAAAAAGCGTCACAAGTACTATCACCAATCATTGCAACACTCTTTAACAAATCCATTGAATCCTCCACCTTCCCTACAGTTCTCAAAATAGCAAGGGTCACCCCGATCCATAAAGGAGGAGACCAAACAGAGTTGAATAACTATAGGCCAATATCCAATTTACACCCTCTCTCAAAAATCTTCGAAAAATTAATTCATAAACGAATCTACTCCTACCTCATCTCCCAAAACATTCTCAACCCCTGCCAATTTGGATTCAGGCCTAATAAAAATAAATAATGATGCTATTATACACATGCTAGAACATATATACACTGCAATAGAGAAAAAAGAAGTCCCACTGGGGATCTTCATTGACTTACGTTAAAGCTTTTGATACAGTTGACCATGACTTGCTCCACGTAAAATTGTCACACTATGGTATTAGAGGGCACTCCCTCAACTACCTCAAGTCTTACCTCAGCAACAGAAGCCAATATGTGTACGCAAATGGGGCAAGCTCTTCCGCACAACCAATTACAGTTGGTGTCCCACAGGGAAGTGTCCTTGGCCCTCTTCTCTTTCTCCTATACATAAATGACCTACCAAATGCTTCGCAATTACTCAAACCCACACTTTTTGCAGATGACACTACATACGTCTTCTCTCACCCGAGCCCAGTCACGCTAGCCAATACTGTAAACACCGAATTACAGAAAATATCTACCTGGATGAGGACTAACAAACTTGTTGTTTGGTAAGACACATATGTAATCAGTCCATCACCCTTAAAGTTTTGAGGTGGTCAGTCCCTCAGTCTGGAGAAGAGCATTGTTCCATAGTATGTTTCATACTATGGAACAATGCTCTTCTCCAGACTGAGGGACTGACCACCTCAAAACTTTAAGGGTGATGGACTGATTACATCGTCTTCAAGTATCTTCTGCTTCTATCAACTTTTCTGTACTTGACTGAAGAAGCCTACTGTGTAGGCGAAACGTTTCATAATAAAGATACCTAACTGTTGCATATGTGTCTTACCAAACAACCTGTCGGTATTTTATACCATTTTAATGTTCAACTAACAAACTTACACTAAACATTGACAAAACCTACTTCATTCAGTTTGGTAACAGAGCTACAGATGTACCTCTTAACATAACAATAAACGGATCACCTATCACAAAGCTAACAGAGGGAAAATTCCTAGGAATCCACCTCGATAATAGACTCAAATTTCATACACATATACAACAAATTTCTAAGAAAATCTCCAAGACTGTAGGCATTCTATCGAAGATACGGTACTATGTTCCACAGTCAGCCCTCCTGGCCCTTTATCACTCTCTTATTTACCCCTATCTCACCTATGGAATTTGTGCATGGGGCTCAACAACAATTAACCATCTCAGACCACTAATTACCCAACAAAAGGCTGCAGTTAGAATGATAACAAATTCTCACTACAGGCAACACACTCCACCAATATTCAAAACACTCAACCTACTCACCATACAAAACATCCATACTTATTATTGCACCTATTACATACATAGAACACTTACCTCTGATATTAACCCTTCCCTCAAACATCTCCTTGCCAACCTCAACAAAACACATGACCATAACACAAGGCACAGATCACTCTTTGATGTTCCTCGTGTCCATCTCACGCTATGCAAAAACTCAATGCACATAAAAGGCCCTAAAATCTGGAATTCATTACCTGTAAATATAAAAGAAACACTACCTGTTTATAAATTAAAGTCTCTTCTCAAAGATCACTTACTCACTCAAAACCAAATAAATACTGAATAACTGAACCTTATAAATTGTATATCCTATATGTTACTCACAATTATATCACACAAATGTTAAACCTAGGACCCAATCTAACTTTATTATTTTTTTAAATACACTACCTAACAGAATACTCCATTCGACTGAATGTACAGCAATGCAAGCAACCATATGACCTGTCTTTGTAATTGTACTCATTTGTGCTTTATAGTTATCTGTTTACAATAATGTTTTATCACTGATTTCATCATTGCTTAGTTAATCTTAAGTTAATTTTAAGCCAGCCCGTAATGCTATGCATATAAGTGGCTTTGGCATGCTGCTCTTACCTGTATTTTTTGTACCTCTGTTTGTATGCTTAAAATTTGTATGGTGATTCTCAAAAACTTTTCTGGTCGGGACCATTTTCTTTCATAACATTCTGAAGCACGTGAATAATACTCAGGGTGACTCAACCATTTAACTAAAAATAAATTTTTGCCATCTTCCATCTTCCTCAGACAAAAATACGATAAATTTATAGGGACATCATGGGTGGATCAGACCGGGGTATATGTGGTTCCCTGTCACTTTATGTTAATAATGACAAAATAAACATTATTTCTCTTAGTTTTAACAAGAATCTCAGTAGAATTAAGTCAAGATCTCAGTTAGCAAGTACTGTAACGCTGTTTAACTTTATTAGGTTATCTTGGGTTAAATTGCATGTTATTTACGGAATTAGACCATTGTAAAAGTTTTAAATTAAGTATAAGGCTAAAGTAAAAATTTACTAACATTTGTATATTTTTTTTAGAAATAGTTAATTTAATACTATTAATTATTATTATTATTATTATTATTATTATTATTATTATTATTATTATTATTAGTAGTAGTAGTAGTAGTAGTAGTAGTAGTACTCCTTAAGTACTTCTCTCAAGTCCAAACAAGCCTCGTAGAACTTATTGTACCTACTCTTGAAACTATGTATGGAATCTACCTGTGTACTCTTCTATATGTAGTTGTAGGGGTCGAGTCACAGCTCCTCTGTGTGTACTCACCTATTTGTGGTTGGAGGGGGTCGATTCACAGCTCCTGGCCTCGCCTCTTCGCTGATCGCTACTTGGTCCACTCTCTCCCTGCTCCAAGAGCTTTATCGTACCTTAAAGCTATGTATGGATCCTGCCTCCACTACATCACTTTCCAGATTGTTCCACTTTCTGACAACTTTGTGACTGAAGAAATACTTCCTAACATCCCTGTGACTCGTCTGTGTTTTCAACTTCCAGTTGTGACCCCTTGTTGATGTGTTGTGTACTCTCACCTAGTTGTACTCACCTAGTTGAGGTTGCGGGGGTCGAGTCCGAGCTCCTGGCCCCGCCTCTTCACTGATCGCTACTAGGTCACTCTCCCTGAGCCGTGAGATTTATCATACCTCTGCTTAAAACTATGTATGGATCCTGCCTCCACTACATCGCTTCCCAAACTATTCCACTTACTGACTACTCTGTGGCTGAAGAAATACTTCCTAACATCCCTGTGATTCATCTGTGTCTTCAGCTTCCAACTGTGTCCCCTTGTTACTGTGTCCAATCTCTGGAACATCCTGTCTTTGTCCACCTTGTCAATTCCTCTCAGTATTTTTTTATGTCGTTATCATGTCCCCCCTATCTCTCCTGTCCTCCAGTGTCGTCAGGTTGATTTCCTTAACCTCTCCTCGTAGGACATACCTCTTAGCTCTGGGACTAGTTCTTGTTGCAAACCTTTGCACTTTCTCTAGTTTCTTCACGTGCTTGGCTAGGTGTGGGTTCCAAACTGGTGCCGCATACTCCAATATGGGCCTAACGTACACGGTGTACAGGGTCCTGAATGATTCCTTATTAAGATGTCGGAATGCTGTTCTGAGGTTTGCTAGGCGCCCATATGCTGCAGCTGTTATTTGGTTGATGTGCGCTTCAGGAGATGTGCCTGGTGTTATACTCACCCCAAGATCTTTTTCCTTGAGTGAGGTTTGTAGTCTCTGACCCCCTAGACTGTACTCCGTCTGCGGCCTTCTTTGCCCTTCCCCAATCTTCATGACTTTGCACTTGGTGGGATTGAACTCCAGGAGCCAATTGCTGGACCAGGTCTGCAGCCTGTCCAGATCCCTTTGTAGTTCTGCCTGGTCTTCGATCGAGTGAATTCTTCTCATCAACTTCACGTCATCTGCAAACAGGGACACCTCAGAGTCTATTCCTTCCGTCATGTCGTTCACAAATACCAGAAACAGCACTGGTCCTAGGACTGACCCCTGCGGGACCCGCTGGTCACAGGTGCCCACTCTGACACCTCGCCACGTACCATGACTCGCTGCTGTCTTCCTGACAAGTATTCCCTGATCCATTGTAGTGCCTTCCCTGTTATCCCTGCTTGGTCCTCCAGTTTTTGCACCAATCTCTTGTGTGGAACTGTGTCAAACGCCTTCTTGCAGTCCAAGAAAATGCAATCCACCCACCCCTCTCTCTCTTGTCTTACTGCTGTCACCATGTCATAGAACTCCAGTAGGTTTGTGACACAGGATTTCCCGTCCCTGAAGCCATGTTGGCTGCTGTTGATGAGATCGTTCCTTTCTAGGTGTTCCACCACTCTTCTCCTGATAATCTTCTCCATGATTTTGCATTACTATACATGTCAGTGACACTGGTCTGTAGTTTAATGCTTCATGTCTGTCTCCTTTTTTAAAGATTGGGACTACATTTGCTGTCTTCCATGCCTCAGGCAATCTCCCTGTTTCGATAGATGTATTGAATATTGTTGTTAGGGGTACACATAGCGCCTCTGCTCCCTCTCTCAATACCCATGGGGAGATGTTATCTGGCCCCATTGCCTTTGAGGTATCTAGCTCACTCAGAAGCCTCTTCACTTCTTCCTCTGTTGTGTGCACTGTGTCCAGCACTTGGTGGTGTGCCCCACCTCTCCGTCTTTCTGGAGTCCCTTCTGTCTCCTCTGTGAACACTTCTTTGAATCTCTTGTTGAGTTCTTCACATACTTCACGGTCATTTCTTGTTGTCTCTCCTCCTTCCTTCCTTAGCCTGATTACCTGGTCCTTGACTGTTGTTTTCCTCCTGATGTGGCTGTACAACAGTTTCGGGTCAGATTTGGCTTTCGCTGCTATGTCATTTGTGTGTGTGTGTGTGTGTGTGTGTGTGTGTGTGTGTGTGTGTACTCGCCTAATTATACTCACCTAATTGTGGTTGCAGGGGTCGAGACTCACCTCCTGGCCCCGCCTCTTCACTGATCGCTACTAGGTCCTCTCTCTGCTTCCAGAGCTTTGTCATACCTCGTCTTAAAGCTATGTATGGTTCCTGCCTCCACTACATCACTTGTTAGGCTATTCCACTTTCTGACGACTCTATGACTGAAGAAATACTTCCTAACAACCCTCTGACTCGTCTGAGTCTTCAGCTTCCAATTATGACCCCTTGTTTCTGTGTCCCCTCTCTGGAACAACCAGTCTCTGTCTACCTTATCTATTCCACGCAGTATTTTGTATGTCGTTATCATGTCTCCCCCTGACCCGCCTGTCCTTCAATGTCGTCAATCCGATTTCCCTCAACCTTTCTTCGTGTCGTGTGTGTGTGTGTGTGTGTACTCACCTAATTGTGGTTGCAGGGATCGAGACTCAGCTCCTGGCCCCGCCTCTTCACTGATCGCTACTAGGTCCTCTCTCTCTCTGCTTCCTGAGCTTTGTCATACCTTGTCTTAAAGCTGTGTATGGTTCTTGCCTCCACTACATCACTTGTTAGGCTATTCCACTTCCTGACTACTCTATGACTGAAGAAATACTTCCTAACATCCCTCTGACTCGTCTGAGTCTTCAGCTTCCAATTATGACCCCTTGTTTCTGTGTCCCCTCTCTGAAACATCCTCTCTCTGTCCACCTTGTCTATTCCACGCAGTATTTTGTATGTTGTTATCATGTCTTCCCTGACCCTCCTGTCCTCCAGTATCGTCAGTCCGATTTCCCTCAACCTTTTTTCGTAGGGTATTCCCCTGAGCTCCGGAACTAGCCTTGTTGCAACCTTTGTACTTTCTCTAATTTCTTGACGTGCTTGACCAGGTGCGGGTTCCAAACTGGTGCTGCATACTCCAGTATGAGCCTGACGTACACAGTGTACAGTGTCTTGAACGATTCCTTACTAAGGTATCGGAACGCTATTCTCAGGTTTGCCAGGCGCCCATATGCTGCAGCAGTTATCTGGTTGATGCATGCCTCCGGAGACGTGCTCGGTGTTAAGGTCACCCCAAGATTTTTCTCCTTGAGTGAAGTTTGCAGCCTTTGTCCACCTAGCCTATACTCTGTCTGCGGTCTTCTTTGCCCTTCCCCAATTTCCTAACTTGCATTTGACAGGGTTGAATTCGAGAAGCCAGTTGCTGGACCACTTGTTCAGCCTGTCCAGGTCTCTTTGTAGTCCTGCCTGATCCTCATCCGATATAATCCTTCTCATTAACTTCATTTCATCTGCGAACAGGGACACTTCAGAGTCCATCCCTTCCATCATGTGTGTGTGTGTGTGTGTGTGTGAAGAGAGGTAGCAGGTGTTAGGAGACGTCCATTTGTCTCACTTTACTGAAGACTCGAACCTGGGTTCTCTCGTTTGTGAGCTGAACGTGTTTTGTTATCTGACACAGTGATCGAAGAGTTTTAAAAAAAATGCAGAACGAAACAATGAGGATCATCCTTGTAAGTACACACATTACTAAAGTAGTATTGATTGTGTGGAAAGATCTTCACATTCCTAGCATCAGAGACCGTGCCATTGGAAGAAATACCCACATCAGCATTATTATTATGCTTGCGCAGGAGCCCTTCAGACTTTCTTCAGAAAAGATGAACACTTCTCTAAATGGACGGTAACTATTGCAAAACACATGAAGGATGTAGTTAGATATTATTGTCAATTTTTTTGTGTGTGTGAAAGGATCTTACTGAGATGTAGTTGTGTATGTGTAGTAGTTTGCGATGGTCCACAACTAATAACGAATAAATGATGATTTAAAAAAGGAGAGCTGCTGGACTGAAAACATTTTGCTTATTTGTGTGTACAGGAGTCAGGTATTGGCAAAGTGGTGGAGTGAACGTCGACACTTCAGTTACGGTGATGGGTACAACAATTTGAGCTTGGTATCCTCATATACACAGATGGCTTGGTACAATTCTCACCAGCTGGGCTGTGGCTTCGCACAGTGCTCAACCACTGGCACACAAACATTCTATAGATATGTCTGCAACTACTGCCCTACGTGAGTCACATTGTGCAGTTTTGTTGTACATACATTCTTCTAAATAATTTATTTTGTAGTTGTAGTGTCATTCTTGAAATAGTATCTATATAACGTAATAAATGTACATTCTAAATGTTATTTTTGCATCACATATATTTATACATGACTAACCCTTCAGGGTTGCCTTGGTACTGATGAATGACTCGTGATCCGTGGATTATGAACTACCCTCCCTTTCATTGGATCAAACTTCATCGCTTTTATATTCCTAAGTTCTTGTATAACCCCTACTGGCTTAACGCTTCCCCATAAATATAATATTACACGTGACTAAATACTGTTCGTCTAAAACAATTTTGTTTTTATTGTTTTAGTGAAATTTAAATTTCTCGTAATACTTAATTCTCCATAGAATGGCATTTTTTGTTCCTTTAAAAATGTGTTGCGTCATTATTTGTATTATTAACTTTGTGATGTTATACAGGGGGAATGATCCAAGGCGGCTGAGTCGACCATATAGTAAGGGTAAGAAGTGCAGCATGTGTCCTGGTTCCTGCAGGTCGCTTTGTAACGGTCGCCGCTGTGGCCTCTGCACCAACTCTTGCGCCTACTCTGACTTGTGGAACAACTGTCCAACGCTGAATCAGGAGTGGCATGAGTGGCTGTGCAACACTAAGACCAAACAGGGAGTAGAACGCTTTAAGAACTGTCGCGCCACTTGTCAGTGTGTCAAAGAGATAACGTGAACCAGGACCTCATCACAGTCGTCAGTGGACGTGAAAGATATTAAGAAATGTAATATTGTGGAAGCAGTCAAGGTTCTCAAATATACACATCTCATGATGTAATATTTAAATTTTTTATTTAGTGGACTGGTAAGCCAGCGGAAGGCCTCGGTCAAATGTTCCACTGAGAGAGTCATATGAGTAAGACCCGCGTCAGGAGAAACTTGCCCATGTCTCCTGACACAAAATATTCGTCTTTCCCTGAAACCTTTCACGCCACATTGTATTCCCTTAATGAGCTGCAACCTGGTTAATTTAATACACCTGCAAATGCTATGACCATGAGTGTGGGTTATAGTCTTTTTGCAGCGACCAGGTAGCGACTGTAGACGACAATTTACAGTTTTAATTCATTACTATAAATCAGGTGAGACGGGAAAGTATATCTCGTTCATCAGGCTGCATAATACATTTATAAATCACTTGTTAGTTTGAGAAACTAGAAGTGAGGGAAGCAAATGTTGGATATCCTAGGATACAAGCCAGTAATAAACCCCAACAGCCCCGCCATATATAAACCTATATATACCAGGCAGTGAACGACTTTGTTTAGTAAACAAATTAAAAGTATTTACTTAAGTCACATTAGCCAAATTATTGAGCATATAAGATATCAAGTGTATGTGGTGAGACTGCTCGTGACTATAATTTCTACAAATACAGTATTTGTAAATTACAAAGTGTTAAAGCGATGCTGGTGTCAGTGTGTGTCCAGTCAGGACAACTGCGAGTACTCGCTGAGTATATGATAGTCCCATTTATGTTAAGAAAACATGAAGGCAGTGTCTAAGGTTGCAGAACAAGCTTTAATTGAGACAACTTTTCGCTCTGTAGAGCTTTATCCAGTCAGTTTTTTCAAGAAAATATATCAATATATTTTTATCAATGTTCTTTATTATCCTTATATTTCACCCTTAAATAGGAGGTTGCAGAGACAAAAAAAAATTTAAAACAAATAACGGTTGTGCTTGCTTGAAGAAACGATTTAGGGAAAACAATTGATAGTGGTGCATACTACATATATCAATGTCTACATATGTATTAAAAACATTTATGTAGAAAATAAGCAAAATAATTTTGTAATCAGTAATATTAGGTTACTTAATTACTTCAGGTAGGTTTATTTTGTTTCTGTTCACCAATTCAATAGACTGATAGTGATTGCTGATTTAGTGCACTAGCTTTCTTTAAAATGTACCTGGAGTTTACCTGGAGAGGGTTTCGGGGGTCAACGCCCCCCGCGGCCCGGTCTGAGACCAGGCCTCATGGTGGATCAGGGTCTGATCAACCAGGCTATTACTGCAGACTGCACGCAAGCTGACTTACCTTTCACGGAAAGTACCTCGTTGCTGGTGAAGTGCTCTTGCTCCGAAGAAGGGCATCTATCCTCTCCTTACTCTGGTCACACCATCACTTTACATTCCTACAGGTTTAACGTTCCCCGTGAAGTTTAAATCCCTTTTGACCCTCCACGGTTATCCTTTATATCTTGAGAATGCATTATTCGTCCATGTCCTCTTGGTAGCCTTACCCTGTCTTTTCCGCTATTTATTTTTCTCAATCATTTTACGTTATCCGTTATAAATGTCATTTATGTATTTAAAAAATAACATGGGGTCCCAGTGGAGAACCTTGTGGGACACCATTCGCCAGTCGTTCATCTGGACATCTTTTACCAGACCATCGCTCTTTGTCTCCCTTCTCGTAGGTGTTCCTCGAATCCAGCAAAATCCAGTTATCCCTGGGTGCTCTTCCAACTTGTGGGGAAGTCTATTGTGGATCGTGTGGGAGGGAGGGAAGAGGAAAACGATGAGGTAATACACAGCTACCTTGAAGATGTCCATCTGTGAGTGTTGCCGTAGTCTGTGTAGTGTTTTAACTTTGTTTTACTTCCTAGAGGGAAACGAGCATTGATTGGTCAGATTTTTAGAAACAGAATTATTTCCAACATTTTCTTCTTTACTGCCATTGAAATGTTCATTCCAGGTTACTCGTAACTTAACACTTATCCTTGAACTTAAATTTGTACATGACTCTCCTTCCGAGGATGATCCTCTTGACTTCATTCTGCATTATTCAAGCCCTTTCTACGCTAACACTCATGTCTGGCTATTCTGTTTAACTCTATTGTCTGTCATTTGGACCATATATATATATATATATATATATATATATATATATATATATATATATATATATATATATATATATATATATATATATATATATATATATATATATATATATCGTGCCTAATAAGTAAAACTGGTCAATTAGCAAGAACTCATTTAAAATTAAGTCCTTTCTAAAAATTTCTCTTATCCGTTTAAAGATATATTTTTTCATTAATGTTCATGTAAAAATTTTTAATTTTGCACCAAAAGAATCTTAGAAAACTTACCTAACCTTATTATAACAAGCGCAATTTATTTTAGCCTAATCCTACTAAATATATTTTAAATACTTTTACAGTAATTTAATACTAAACAAACACAGTGAAATATATTTTTTTCGTTAGGTTTAGAATGATTTTTGCGAAATTATTGCATACACAAATTTTCGCTTGTCCTATATGGCAAGAGGAACGTTGCTATTTAAGCCAAGATCGCAAATTCTGCCTATTCGGCACGACACACATATATATATATATATATATATAAGGGTGGGGTCCACCTCTGGTGTAAATTGTGGGACCCATAGCCTCGGAGAAGTGGATAAAAAGGCTTCAAGGAAGAATATTTGGATTTCTTCCTGAAGCCATTTGAATATTCCACTTCCCCTACCACCCCATCTTTTAAACTATTTTTTTTTACCAATAGGAATATTTTATTACATAATATGGCACAGAAGATTTAAGAGATACATTGTTGATATATATATATATAATATATATATATATATATATATATATATATATGTATATATATATATATATATATATATATAATATATATATATATGTATATATATATATATATATATATATATATATATATATATATATATATATATATATTATATATATATATATATGTATATATATATATATATAATATATATATATATATATATATATATATATATATATATATATATATATAATATATTATTTATGACCCATGCTCTCTTGCTTCACTTTTGGCTTTCATCGTTTATTGACCCTTGGGCACTGTACTGTCTATTTTCTTTAACATTGCATCAAGTTTCGTTCACTGACAATGTAGTGTAAACCATTGTGGTGATAAAACAGTACATTCATTTACATTACACACAATTGTTGCTTATAACAGTTTTCGTCGTGTTTGTTCAACAAACACAACGTTTATGCTAAATATCGTAACGTCATATATATTTTCAGTTTGTTAGGTGTGATGCTTATGGACTACGCGAGGGTCATTAAGACTGAATTTCACCTGTATTCCAACACCAAGAATACTTTAATCCCTAAAATACGGACTAAAGTTAAACCCTCAGTGTTTATGCTCCTCCCGGTGTGTACACATTATTTTCAGTTACATTTGAAGATAGTTAACCCCCTCACCTTGAAGGTCTGTTGCCATTTTGCATACACTATTTCATTTATAATACTTGATCCTATGGGATGTTGGTAGTATTTACTGTACGAACAAGTTGTTTTTAAGAATAATGAGTACATATAACATGCTAAAAGGTCTGAGACTATTGAGATATATATAGATGTATCGTTAACATAAAGCTCCGCGAAAATTATATTAAATGCCATGAAAAGTGGGTGCAGCTCTTCAGTGTGTATCCAGACTGAAGGAAGTGAGGACGTATGTGTATGGAACTCTCGTCCACTTTAATTGTACCTCTTTATTGAGTTTTTAACTGAGTGTTTACCTTGTAATTTATTAAGGAGTTATATGCACGGAACGCAAGGAAAGATCAGTAGCAGTTCTGCTGTTCGACAGTTGTGAAGGTAAGTTTTAACGGGTGTTTGGGGCTTGACCTCTCAAACTTAGGTTCGAAAGGTTTTTCTTTCTCCCGTCCTCATTATCTAGATTCTTTTTTATATAGTTATTTGTATTTCCGGGTGAGATACCATGTAATTGTGACGGCCATGTGTGGTACTTTTGAGGCTTTGTTGAGCTTGGGTACATGTTAACTTAACATTTGAGACATTTGTCCAAGGGACCCCTCAGTGGGAGCCAGTCAGGGGACCCCTCGGTGGGAGCCAGTCAGGGGACCCCTCGGTGGGAGCCAGTCAGGGGACCCCTCGGTGGGAGCCAGTCAGGGGACCCCTCGGTGGGAGCCAGTCAGGGGACCCCTCGGTGGGAGCCAGTCAGGGGACCCCTCGGTGGGAGCCAGTCAGGGGACCCCTCGGTGGGAGCCAGTCAGGGGTCCCCTCGGTGGGAGCCAGTCAGGGGACCCCTCGGTGGGAGCCAGTCAGGGGACCCCTCGGTGGGAGCCAGTCAGGGGACCCTCGGTGGGAGCCAGTCAGGGGACCCTTCAGTGGGAGCCAGTCAGGGGACCCCTCGGTGGGAGCCAGTCAGGGGACCCCTCGGTGGGAGCCAGTCAGGGGACCCCTCGGTGGGAGCCAGTCAGGGGACCCCTCAGTGGGAGCCAGTCAGGGGACCCCTCGGTGGGAGCCAGTCAGGGGACCCCTCGGTGGGAGCCAGTCAGGGGACCCCTCGGTGGGAGCCAGTCAGGGGACCCCTCGGTGGGAGCCAGTCGGGACCCCTCGGTGGGAGCCAGTCAGGGGACCCCTCGGTGGGAGCCAGTCAGGGGACCCCTCGGTGGGAGCCAGTCAGGGGACCCCTCGGTGGGAGCCAGTCAGGGGGAGCCCTCAATGGGAGCCAGTCAGGGGACCCCTCAATGGGAGCCAGTCAGGGGACCCCTCAATGGGAGCCAGTCAGGGGACCCCTCGGTGGGAGCCAGTCAGGGGACCCCTCGGTGGGAGCCAGTCAGGGGACCCCTCTGTGGGAGCCAGTCAGGGGACCCCTCTGTGGGAGCCAGTCAGGGGACCCCTCGGTGGGAGCCAGTCAGGGGACCCCTCGGTGGGAGCCAGTCAGGGGACCCCTCGGTGGGAGCCAGTCAGGGGACCCCTCGGTGGGAGCCAGTCAGGGGACCCCTCAGTGGGAGCCAGTCAGGGGACCCCTCAGTGGGAGCCAGTCAGGGGACCCCTCGGTGGGAGCCAGTCAGGGGACCCCTCGGTGGGAGCCAGTCAGGGGACCCCTCGGTGGGAGCCAGTCAGGGGACCCCTCGGTGGGAGCCAGTCAGGGGACCCCTCAGTGGGAGCCAGTCAGGGGACCCCTCAGTGGGAGCCAGTCAGGGGACGCCAGTCATACTGATACTCGAGTTGTCCCCAAAATTACCGGCTTTAATCACCTGCATTGGTTCACCTCTCCAATTCATTACTCAAACACAGTAACCTTTAACAATTATTCGTCTATGCGGTACTAAGTGGGGAATATTGGGGATCAAGTTTGAGGAGGTTTAGAAAAAGACTAGGCCACAGTCAGTGGCCAGGCTTCAAACACCTTTTATTGTACAGCAATAAAGGAATAGAACAGACTGCCCGCACATGTCAAAGCCAGTCATAGCATGAACCAGTTCAAGAAGAGTACTAAAAGGTGTCTGATGAATATGGCTACACAAAGGGAGGGGAATGATTTTTTATTTAGCTAACACACGTGTAATTTTACCTTATTCCTAGTAATGACCCTCGTATTGTAGATAGTCTTAATGACCTTCGTGTAGTAGATAGTCTTTTTAGTATGATAATAAGCTGTTATCTTCATTATAGAATAATAAGAAAATATTATAACCTTTATATTATAATAATAAGGTAAAAGGACCCCAATGGAAATAAGTCACTCTGACTTTTTTTGGGTTATCCCAGATTCTCTACACATATGCTGCTATGTATGATATTCTATGTAACTGTATTTGTGTATACCTGAATAAACTTACTTAACATTTACTGGTATTATTTATATCAAGTACACTAGTTTACCTTTACATTTCTTGTAGACGATTTAAGTTCTATACTTTGGTAATTCATAATGTCGTACAAAGACGACCGTGGTATATTCCCGAGGGAAACGGGTATTTCCAAGATGTAAGTAGTCTGGATTGGTACTCTGAGTCTCTAGGTAGACCACCTCGGTAACCTTCGCTTCTAGCCTCCACGCCCAAAGCTTGGCCGCTCTAATCTCCAGACGAGCTCTATCTTAGGTTACCTGGAGGTTATTCCGGGGATCAACGCCCCCGCGGCCCGGTCCATGACCAGGCCTCCCGATGGATCAGGGCCTGATCAACTAGGCTGTTACTGCTGGCCGCACGCAGTCCGACGTACGAGCCACAGCCCGGCTGATCCGGCACTGACTTTAGGTATCTGTCCAGCTCTCTCTTGAAGGCAGCCAGGGGTTTATTGGCAATTCCCCTAATGCTTGATGGGAGGCTGTTGAACAGTTTTGGGCCCCGGACACTTATGGTGTTTTCTCTTAGTGTACCAATGGCGCCCCTACTTTTTATTGGCGGCATTTTGCATCGCCTGCCCAGTCTTTTACTTTCGTAGGGAGTGATTTCTGTGTGCAGATTTGGGACCATTCCTTCCAAGATTTTCCAAGCGTAGGTCAGTAGTTTCTCTTCTAACCCACTAGTGTAATTTAGACAGGTTACCCAGTCCCCAGTTAAAAATAACCAATCAGATTATGATCCCATACTTGAGTAAGCAGTTTCCTAAAATGCTGAAGATAAGCTGATGTCGATGATATGGCCTCAGCTGTTTTCCATAAATGTTACAGCACTCGAGTCCCTTAAAAGTATCAAATAGCAAGGGAAATAGAGTTTGACATATTAATCTGCCACCAGGTCAGGTGTTCCTTACACCCCAGTGGAAATACGATGCAGATCCTAAATGAATAAGTTGCATCCTTTGGTTTTCTTGGTTTATCCTAGATTAAGTCTACATAATGTACATTTAAAAAATGGCTTTTTTTCATATTTGCATTCGAGTATTTCATTGTGATTTCTCCCCATAATATACTGTGTATGGGGGGTGAAGGTGGGTGGGTGGGGGGCTCTAGACCACTACACATTTATACATACTATGTATGTAAAATCTATATACAAATGACTTAAGAAATCGTAATGAGGTTTCAAGATGCGAACAGTTTGACTGCCACTGGCGACTCGTGTCTTTGACTTCCCTATAATTTTCTTACATGTATAACCTCGATACTTTGTGAAATTTTCACACAAATTGAATCTCAACTTTTAACTTGATCTGTGAAGATTGTTCACACATTTTGTGGAGGTTGAACCCATTCATTATGCGTATACTTCTGAAAAATTTGTGCTCAGCTATACAAACATTTCAGAAATATTAATTCCCCTACTATAATAGTATAATTATTTGTAGTAGTACTGATAGTAGTTAAGTATGTAAATGGACGCACATGCAGCTTAGACATTTTTTTAAGACAACTTTTTGTCCACCAGGGGCTTGTCAAGCCAATATTTACAGTGGTTGTAAATGGTATGATGATACCTCCAAACTGGAGAAGTACACTTGTGTATAGCTCAGGATATTTATTAAAGGAAACTTTTCTCAACGAGTGGCTACTTCAGTCCTCAACTGTACACAAGTGTCTTATTCCGCAATATATGTATAATATATACTCATTGTGCCCATATGATGTATGTAATGGCTTGGCACATCCCTTTGTGAGCGAAAATTTTTGACAAATGTTTCCATTACGCAACCCACCTAATACTGAAGAATTTACATAATAAAAACATCTGGGTGTAAACATTGACCAGTGTCTCGATCATTTGCATATGACTAATACATGGTGCTGTATGACCCCTATGGGTTTAGTGCTTCCCCATAACTTGAATTATTAATCATAATACACTTTACCACAAGCAATCATGTTTAGACAACTTCTCTACTCTCCTCATTATAAATAAATTTCGCTCGTTCTTGTAAATTTGTGAGTAAATGGTGCTTAAGCTGATGTTTTCACGTTGGATTATAATATTCATGGGGAGCGCTAAACCCATAGGAGTCATAGTTTCAAGTTGGCAATTATATTGCTTTCCGTGGCATAACTGATCGTTCCTGTTTGGGGTAATTACTGTCTGATATTTCCTCCCATTTTACCCCATGCATTGGATATTAATAAACATTTTAACAGCCTTTTATAACAATGGTATACCTGGGTTTTTATATTCGTGGAAAACTTAGTCAGATCTATGATGTTATCAAGTTTTTACGGAATGGTCTGATAAATCAGAGGAATATCTCGGTCAAATACCCAGAAAGCTCCGCTGATGGGGGGAGGGGGCTCTTCATCTGTCCTAATCCCCATCGGTTTTAACAGTGAAATACTGTCTGTTCTGGTCATCATACTACTGACACCCGTGTCGGGAGAAATATGATTATTTTTCCTGGAAAACGAAATACCACCGTCATGTGAAATTTTAGCGGAAATCTAGTGACCACAAACCTAAAAGGAATCCCACACTATTAGGTATTTGTCAACATGTAGTGTTGTGAACACATGATAGTGTGTTTTCCTTCAGTGGATATAAAGTGTTAATGCAATAAGATCACAGTAAACAGGTGATTTTAAAATATGCAAAACAACCACTATGAAAGAGTAGTGAAATTCCCGTGACTACTCACAATGTGAGTAGTCACGAAAGCGCTTGGAATTTCACTATTTCATAGTGGTTGTTTTGCATAAAGTGCTAAGTGGAGGTGCCCTCGGGATGAGTACATATGTACCTGAAGTATAGCACAGACTGAGTACAGGTTTAACATTAGTGTCCTGGTGAGTACAGGCGTGGCAGAGGTGTAACACAGGCTTGGTAATTGTTTAAGCAGCAGTCAGGCTCGCGTGACTTGGCAGGTGTTTTAGCGGAAGTGGAAGCCACGTGTTTAAGATGCAGTTGATGTCTTGACAGCGG